CTTCAAAGCCCGGAAAACATTCCTAAATGTGAAACCATAGTTTGCTATATAAACAGATTTGCAGCGTGTTGAAATTTCATTAAAACACCTCCATGTGTTTTGAAGAAACTTACTATTTAGCATTTTTTAAATTAAATGTCAACGCCCTGTAAATCTTTAACGCAGCACTTCTGACCTATCGGTTATACGGCAAACTATGGTTTGTTCCGGAACTAGAATAGGTGGTTAAAATAATGCCCCTGCCCCATGAAACACCTTGTATACTTACCAGTTTCTGGATCATTTTCTCCAGTTTTTCCTCGTAGGCTGCCTTGATGGATCCAATTTTCTTTTCCGCTTTCTGCTGCTCTTTCATCAGCAGAGTCACGTACTCTTTCCGTTCGTTTTCGCGCTTCTGCATGAGCGTGCAGTTGTCGTCCAGCAACTTTTCGTAGGCTTCTTTGAGGTTGCTGGTCCGTTGCACGTCTCGCGTGCGCTCCTCAATGATTTGCCTAGAATTCAAAATTGTATTGAGGCTTTGTAGGTAATGGGGACTTACTTTAAACTGGCCATTTCGAGCTCGCATTTGGAATTCTTCGTCATCACTGCAGTGTAGGCCTGTCGGACCACGTCGCGCTCCTTTTCCGCCTGCTGCACGCGCTGCAGCAACTGTCGCTTCTCCTCCACGGCTGCATTGTGCGCCTGCAGCACTTTGGCCTCGGTCTCCTTGATGATCTCCGTCTGGGTCTGGAGGATTTCAATCCGTTCCTTCTTCACCTTTAGGGTCTCCTTTCGGCTCAGCTCTAGCGCCATTTGGATTTGCCGTTTCTCTTCGCCCACATCCTGCAGCTTGGTCTGCAGCGCTTCCCGTTCTTTTGACAACGTCACATTATCCGACTGCACCTTATCGAGCTGCAAGGAAAGTTCCTCTTTCTCCTGTACGGCGTTTTGCAAATATTCGTAGATGTCCTCTTTCTCGTTTCGGGTCTCTGTTGAGGCTTGCTCCAGTTGCTGGATTTCCCTTCGTAGATTTCCGATCTCAATGTCTTTGGCCTGATGCAGCTCCTGCTGCTCGCGCAGCAAGAAGAGCTCACGGAAGAGCTCGTCTTTTTCCCGAATGATTTTCTGCAAGTTTTCCAGGATCTCAGCTTTGTC